TTGAAATGCTTCTTACGAAGCCACTCCTTCGTTGCCCGGGCGGTGTGTTTGGGATCATTGTCATGCTGAAAGACCCAGCCATGTTTCATCTTCAATGCCCTTGCTGATGGAAGGAGGTTTTCACTCAAAATCTAACGATACATGGGCCCATTCATTCTTTCCTTTACATGGATCAGTCGTCCTGGTCCCTTTACAGAAAAACAGCCCCAAAGCATGATGTTTCCACCCCCATGCTTCACAGTAGGTATGGTGTTCTTTGGATGCAACTCAGCATTCTTTGTCCTCCAAACACGACGAGTTGAGTTTTTACCAAAAAGTTATATTTTGGTTTCATCTGACCATATGACATTCTCCCAATCCTCTTCTGGATCATCCAAATGCACTCTAGCAAACTTCAGACGGGCCTGGACATATATGGCTTAAGCAGGGGGACACGTCTGGCACTGCAGGATTTGAGTCCCTGGCGGCATAGTGTGTTACTTATGGTAGGCTTTGTTACTTTGGTCCCAGCTCTCTGCAGGTCATTCACTAGGTCCCCTCGTGTGGTTCTGGGATTTTTGCTCACCGTTCTTGTGATCATTTTGACCCCACGGGGTGAGATCTTGCGTGGAGCCCCAGATCGAGGGAGATTATCAGTGGTCTTGTATGTCTTCCATTTCCTAATAATTGCTCCCACAGTTGATTTCTTCAAACAAAGCTGCTTACCTATTGCAGATTCAGTCTTCCCAGCCTGGTGCAGGTCTACAATGTTGTTTCTGGTGTCCTTTGACAGCTCTTTGGTCTTGGCCATGGTGGAGTTTGGAGTGTGACTGTTTGAGGTTGTGGACAGGTGTCTTTTATACTGATGACAAGTTCAAACAGGTGCCATTAATACAGGTAACGAGTGGAGGACAGAGGAGCCTCTTAAAGAAGAAGTTACAGGTCTGTGAGAGCCAGAAATCTTGCTTGTTTGTAGGTGACCAAATACTTATTTTCCACCATAATTTGCAAATAAATTCATTAAAAATCCTACAATGTGATTTTCTGGATATTTTTTTCTCAATTTGTCTGTCATAGTTGACGTGTACCTATGATGAAAATTACAGGCCTCTCTCATCTTTTTAAGTGGGAGAACTTGCACAATTGGTGGCTGACTAAATACTTTTTTTCCCCCACTGTATTCCATATGAACAGGGGAAACTGGGCCAATACATTCATTTCAGAGGCAGGATCTCAAAACAAACCTCTGAAGAGGCTCCTTTCTTTTCCTCGAGAGGGGCCTATTCAGACCAGACTGTTCTCTACAGAGGGCCACAGAGCACCCCCACTGTATGTACAATGGCACTCACAGGCTTTATTATTTCTCCTCTGTACTATCCAATGAATGCCTCATAATGCTTGAATTGGATGAGAATGACACCGCTGTCCTACAACACACCACCCCACCCCACCCCAACAACGGAGGACAGGCAAAGCAAATCAATAGATTTAGCCAATTTCAGTTAATACAAGGACTTCCATTTAGTCTAAAGTGACACTGGGCTAAATCAAAATATAGGATGACAAAACTATGTTGAACACCATATCTTGAGCATCTGGTTTACAATTAAGTAGAAAATGTGTTCTCAAAAGTGTCTAGTTGAAGGCCTTGGAACGCGAAGTACTCTAGAGTGAGAGGCTTATCAGACCAATTAATGTATTAATGTCCTTGACAGGCTGATGCTAAGCCACACCTTGTGAGGAGCAAACCTGGACTGAGCCAGATGGGACCAAAACATCTTGAATAAGAAGGCCACTTACTAAAGTACATTTCTTTATTTGCTTTTGTTTAACTATGAAACAGTAGAATGTTGTTGCCATTAGCTGTGGCCAAGTTACACATGCTACTGTAACACATCTACAGTAACAGTTGCAGTTGTCTCACAGTTTGTTAATGTCTGCCCCGCCATCATGACAACCCGAGCTAAATAAAAGCATGGGTGTAGTGTCATAATGCAAACTAACAGCAAGTATACTGTATGTATTACACTGAACAAAATTATAAACGCAACATGTAAAGTATTGGTCCCATGTTTCATGAGCTGAAATAAAAGATCCCAGAGATTTTCCATACACACAAAAAGCTTATTTCTCTAAAATTTTAAGCACACATTTGTTTACATCCCTGTTAGTGAGCATTTCTCCTTTGTCAAGATAATCCATCCACCTGACAGGTGTGGCATATCTAGAAGCTGATTAAACAGCATGATCATTACACAGGTGTACCTTGTGCTGGGGACAATAAAAGGCCACTAAAATGTGGTTTTGTCACACAACACAATGCTACAGATGTCTCAAGTTTTGAGGGAGCGTGCAATTGGCATGCTGACTACAGGAAAGTGCCCCATGGTGGCGGTGGGAATATGGTATGGGCATGCATAGGCTACGGACAACGAACACAATTGCATTTTATCAATGGCAATTTGAATGCACAGAGATACCGTGACAAGATCCTGAGGCCCATTGTCGCACCATTCATCCGCTGCCATCAACTCAGCATGATAATGCACGGCCCCATGTCAAGCTGAAAATGTCCCAGTTCTTCCATGGCCTGCGTACTCACCAGACATGTCACTCTTTGAGCATATTTGGGATACTCTGGATCGTCATCAGCGTTTTCCAGTTCCCGCCAATATCCAGCAACTTCGCACAGCCTCTGAAGAGTGGGACAACATTCCACAGGCCACAATCAACTGCCTGATCAACTCTATACGAAAGAGATGTGTCGCGCTGAATGAGGCAAAAGGTGATCACACCAGATACTGACTGGTTTTCTGATCCCTTACCTTTTTTAAGGTATCTGTGACCAACAGATGCATATCTGTATTCCCAGTCATGTGAAATCCATAGATTAGGGCCTAATAAATCTATTTCAATTGACTGCTTTCCTTATATGAACTGTAACTCAGTCAAATCTAAGAAATTGTTGCGTTTATATTTTTGTTCAGAATATATTCATCTGGCACTTTTCATTAAGGTCTTAAAACACTCAAAACTGTATGGATGTAACTCATCCCATCCACTGCCAATGTTTAGGTCTACCTGGGTGATGCACGGCAGCCATTTTGGATTGACAATAACATGGTGGGCTTTTCAACACATTGGGCGCGTTCCTCCACCCAGGCGTTGCTAATGCATGCCAGATCTTACAACGCCTGGATAGGTATTTTAAGTATTAGCTAACCACATCATATGTTATAGAAATCTGTCAGTCGATGACGTGGCACACAACCATTGGTTGATGCATGCAACGTCTGAGCAGGGGAACACAACCATTGACTGACTGTCATCGCAATGCCTCGACAGAGAGGGGTTGACACAGAGGGAGGGACAATACAAGGACACATTCACACTGTCTTTTGTAAGGCATTGTTTCTGAAGTTGTCCAGCATGTGTTGTACTGAACACTACTTAACAATACTGAAAGACTAGGAGGAAATTCAAATTGAAGCTAATGTTTTGCACTGGTAACATATGGATTAATATGAGTGGACACTATTCTCACATGGCCTCACTTTCTATAGTAATCATCCAACAGCTGCCTGGAGGCATGATCCATTTAGTTATAAAGATGGTTTTAAAGTACCACAAAAGATGCTGTCATGACCCACCATATTAACACTTGTCCATTGGCAAATTACTGCATTATTGGGTCAGAAACTGGCACCATTATAAGAGCTGGCGAGAAGAGGTACATTTATGCCATGCCTCTGGTGGGTAAAGTGGGTCCTTCCTGCAGTGTCCACACATAGAGCTCAAGTGAACAGCAGTCTAAAGGTCCTCAATAATATTTCAGAACAAACCTGTTCAAAATTCAAATACTTTAGACAATAAAGACTTGAATGTAACCCTCAAGCTGAGTAACTATTTGTAACGGTCACGCATCCTCTGGTATAGTAAGCCTCTGGGCCAATAAAATAGCTTTTCCTTGTGCAGTGTTTAAAACTTGGACAATTATCAACCAGTAAGTCAGTAAATTAAAATTATTGAGCTCAAAACCCAATTTTAAAACACATGGTAATGATTTTAATTTATTAAAGACAAACTAAACCAGAAATAATAAATACATGGAAGAATAGTAATACTTTTGAACTCAAAACAAAGAAATAAAAATAAAAAAACACAAAAGTGGTGACAGACAAGGCAAACAATGCCTTTTTGGCCAATGGATTGCAAAAGTATCCCAGCTACTTTTCGATTGACATATCAGGGGAAAGAATCTCAAAAGATACAATTTGCGATTTGTCTTGTACACGTTTCTGAACTGACTGAAAACATCATACAGTCCAATAATACATTGTTTGGTGTTAAGATTAGACATTTTCACAGCCCCCCAAATATACTGAACTTAAAACCCCATTTCCGGGTGGGTAGGGAGGATGCGGGCAGGTGGAGGGGGACTGAGGGGGGGAATGGGTCAGAGTTATCTTTGTATGCATTTAATTGATTGTTTTTGTGCCTCTGAAAAAGAAAAATGACTAAACTCAATAAAAAGTTGGTCACAAAAGAAAATATTCTGTTGACCTAATCACAGGCTAGGAAGTACAAGTACAAATTAAAATCACAGATACCAATAATGTTCTTCATTAAGAAAAATCTGAAATTAGGCAGGATAGATACATTCACAGTATGCATACTCCCCACCTTTCAAATGAATAAGAACAAGTGAAGATAAGACTTTTGACAGCTCTTAAAAAAGCCTTTATACAAAACAATGAATTTTCACCCGATATGAGTTAGTGTTATGATAACTTTTGACCAAAACAAACCTTGCTCTGAACTCTGAGGGGTATACTACAAAGCAGAATCAAGGAGTTAGCCAGCCTGAATATTCTGAAATAACGTATTAATTTAAAAAAAGATAAGCTTGAAATGGGCATGGTCTAATGGACGCGACAACCAAAAACACATATCTATGTTTAGCTTTCTTAATGAACCAGAAAATAAACTGTTTATCAAAGTTAGCCGGCTAACTCATTGATCCTGCTTTGTAGTACACCCCTCTGTCCAGACACAACTGTTCTTTATTCCTGAATGGGCTGGACAATCATCCCTGTGTTTCAGCATGTGACAATATGTGTGTGTGTGACAGAGTGCCTGTGAAAGTCTGTTCTTGTGCATATCTTGTTCTATGTACAAGTGTATGAGTACACACTTGTGCTCTAATGATTCCTCATGGGGACTCTGAAGACGGAAGTCCACAGGGTTGCTGTAAAACTATCAGCCCACTGGAGGGGTCATTCTTACTTGGCAGCTCTTTGAAATAAAAATCAATTTATACATTCACAATTTGATCCATGAAACAAAAACAGAAGACATCAAATGGTAGTTTCCCTACTGGCTCTACACAGGGTGGACGGGGACAGGGGAGGGTGGAGGAAAAGAGGCCGTAGCTTATAATTGGCATTTGATTTGACACTTCTCCTATTGATCAAAATGCCCTTTTAGTTGTACGCCAACCTAACAGCAGGGATCTTACTCAAATTCACATAGATACATACACATTCACAAGTGCCATTCCCTTGACCAGGGCCTGTGTTGCTGCCCTCCCTAACTGTTGTCACAACTGGTCAGAAGGGGCACAAGTTTCTCTCAGCTCTTCCAGTATGGCTTAGTTTTTTACCAGGGACAGTAACAAGGGGGATAAAATATTTCACAAATCATAAGCAACGCATCACATTTAAAAACCCATGTTTGTCCTTGGTAGCCAATTAGACACATTTACCGGTAAATATAACCGTTTCAAGTGATGGGATCTCAGCAGGGACTCTCCCAGTGAGGTGTCCTCTCCTCCTTCTCCAGTAGGACTAGCATCGCAGCGGTGACCTCTTTTTGGCTGCTTTAGTTCACACATCCCTTTACAACATCCACAGGACCCCACCACGCCACCACGCCACCACGCCACCCCCCCCCGCCTCCAGTCTGCAGAGACAAGGTTATCTCTGCTGCTCTGTTTAAGACTGTATGCATACACATTATCATTACTCTCATTTATATTAGTGTCTTTTGTTAAGGATTTGTGAATCCTGCTCTCAAAATAAAAAGGTAGTAAAAGTCAAGTTAAGAGTCATCCATGGAGGAAGTACTGGGGGGTGAACCAGGGGTTCTGCAGATATGGTCATGAGTGACGGGGCTGTGGGAGGGGAGAAGGGTTGTCCTCAGAGCCCTGCCCCACACAGTCATTTCTGAAAGGGCCTGGAACAGAGCCCTGTGGGACACCACCCTGACCCTGGGGGAATGCTGCTATGCCGCCATGAGATACTGGTGGTAGAAGAGGCCGAAGATGGAGGTGGAAAAGAGGCAGGCAGCGATCCACCAGGTGAGGAAGGAGAGGAGGCCACGGAAAAGCAGGGGGGTAAACACTGTTCGCAGGCCCCCGAGGGCCACCGACAGCTGGGCCACCGATGCCTGGGCATCCACAGCCGGCCCTGGAGCTGCAGTTGGTGCTGCCACCGCGGTAGGGTCAGAGTTAATCTCCATTGGGCAGGGGAGGTCTCCCTCAGGGTACACCCCCCAGGAGTGTCCACCTATAACGCAAAGAGTAGGGGGCTACATTAGCAGTGTGGTGGACTAAAGATTGCTGCTAAATGGTTCAATTTAATGTACGGGCAATAATTTCTGATGATGTGCCAAACTCACCTAAGGTTTTTAGCAGCAAGGTTGTATGCAGCAACATCACCAAGGGTGCCACATACTGCAGTGCGATTACACATAGGTAGTAGAAAACACGGGCCACCTGGGAAACAAAAGAAGAGAGAACTTCCTGTCAACAGGAACTCTTAAAACCCCATTGGTTTTATCATACTCTGTCCATCTGTCAAGGCCAAATGATTGGCCGATTCAAGGTGCCACTCACCATCTTCTGCAGGTCGACAGTGCTGATGCGTCCCGCCTCCTTCTTCATCTGCTCCACGCCCTTCTGGGCCAGGTTGAGGTAGGCCTGGAGGTGGTGCCTCATCATAGCCAGGCGCAGCACACACAGCAGCACGATGGCCCACAACCGCAACGTGTCATAGGTCTCCTCAGTCATCCTGGTGAGGTGTCAGAGACACAGCGAGTGTGTGTGTGAGAGCGAGAGAGAAGGAGACGGGTGAAGGAAAAATGATAAGCAACCCATGTTGATAATGTGAGAAGATGAGAGAGTGAGTGTGCGAGAATGTGAGGGTACGAAAGCCAGGAGTGACAGGGAGAGGTGGAACGAAAGAGATGTTACAGAGATGTGAAACTTTGGGAAGGCCTGATTCTTTCACCATGCATGTGGTTGAAAAATTTAATGACAAACAAAAAATAATAATAATAAAAAACAAGCCAGAGGTGAACTTACAAAGGCACACTCTCCTTCCCCAGGGCAGGGTTCAGGAGGTAGTCCTTGGTTATGGGCTTCACCCACAGCAGTACCATAATAAGAGGGGCCAGGAAGTTGATATGAAGCAAGGTCCTGGAAGAGAAGAATAACGTAAAATGGTCACACAATCTTGTCAGAGAACGCTTTCCTTATCCAGGAGTGCAATGTGAATACTGTATAAGCACTATATGTTTATGGCATACTATCATCCACACTCATCGAGGACCGGCTAGTAGACCACATTACTTATTGGTTTATTCAGATCCCCATTAGCTTTTGCTGAAGCAGCAGCTATTCTTCCTGGGATCCAATAATTTACACTCACACCTACTTCAGCTAGCCCATATTTGAATGGGACAACAATGTGTGGTCTGGGTGTGGGGGAAGGAAGACAGGAGAGAAGAGAGGAACTCACTGTGTGACTTTGGCTGTAGTCAGGTTGAGGGCATCCAGGTGCATTTGAGCCAATCGTAGGCCAGGGAAGGTGAGGAATGCACCAATCAGAGAGCAGAGCAAGGCCAGGATCAGCTTAAAGGTGAGTTTAGATATGGGACCCCTGGTGAAAAGAACATACACAGTTATATTGGGCTAAAGCGTACCTCACATTCATACAACATGTGCATATGCACACAGTCCATGAGTCAATTGGATTCATGACCCATGCATACTGATAAAAAAAGCTCATACTTACTGGGACTCTAACCCCTGGTTGTCCAAAAACTGTGTGGCACTTTCAGAGAAATTTGCGAAACCTAGATCGAAATGAAAACATTATTATATTTAAAAAATTGGTCCTACAAAGTCCAGAAAAATAACAATTACAGTCAGTACATTAGTCAAAACAAATTGAATCTATTCCTCTAATAACAGATTTAATCTATTCCTCTAATGTAATGTTCTTCAACCCTGGTCCTGGGGAAGCACAGGATTTGCAGGCTTTTGTTCTATCCCATCACTAACACAGCTAGTTTGATGAGTTGAATTGTATGTGTTAGTACTGGTCTGGAACAACAGCCTGCCCAGCCTGTGGGTCCCAAGGGTTGTATTCACTAGGAAGCAAACGGGACGAAAACGCTAGTTTTCCATTACACAAAAATGTTTTGCACTAATGAATAGGACCCAGGTGCAGGATTGAAGAGCACTGTGGGCTAGCTATACTGACAGATGGCTCATCGACCACTCACCTGTCTCCAGACCAAACTCCAGGTAGTTCTCAGTGACAATGAGGATGGCCATGGCTTTGACGAAGAAGAAGAAAGCAAAGGTGATGCAGAGCGAGCGCTCGCCACCTTCCTCCAGCTTGAAGTAGAAGGCCGTCAGGGAGAACAGGGTCTTACTGTGGGGCAGGGGAGTTAAGGAAAACCCCCACAGAAACACACAACTCATGAAATATAGCCTACTAATCATATTGCTGTGAGCCAGGGCTGTGTAGAGACATTTCTGGAATAATGGTGGTGGCTCATTAACATAATGGACTCGAAGGATCAAAAGCGCGCAACAGTACTGAACAGTGACCCCACAACAAGCACGCACATACACAGTCTAGCTTCTCTCACTCTCTTAAGCAGTGGCTGTCACACATTACCATAGGGCTCAATGGGCCGGGCTTCCTCAGAACTAGAATGGTATTGTCTGCGGTGCCTGGCTGCAGTGTTTCTAGCGGGCTAGGTAAGGACACAGAGTGCTTCTAGAACTGCCTTGCATCTCCATGGTGATGGTGCTCAGCCTTTATTCCACATACCAATGTCTCAGGCCATTCTGAATGGGGAATCGAGGTAATGTAGGCTAGCCAATGGACTTGCCTTTTCCTGGGGGTCACAAATAGGATACTAAAGGTTGCATTTTAAAAAGGTAGCTGACAACTTAGAGCTAATTTCTCTCAAAGGAGCAATGCAACCCCATTATCAGACCTCAGTGAGGCAGCTGCTAATGTAGCCTAAATACTATTTGGGAAGGAGCCACAGAAAGCAAGTGGCAAATTTTGATGCAGCATTTCTGCGAGAGTAGCTTTAGCCCACTTCAAGTTATACCATCACTGATTGTCAGGATAAATCTAGGCTAACCAACAGGCCACTTGATGGTATGTCTACCTGATGTGCATTCAACTTCATCAACACTTATAGAAATCCCTTTCAGTTGGGTGAAATCACAAGGCTCGGGAAGAATCAGATGTTCCAATACTTCGTAACTTCACGAAAAATGTAATCTGCTAAATCCATTCCAATTTGGCAGTTTTAAGATTCCATTCCATGGCTGAGGTGTTAAGTCGAGGTTAACACAACAGGTGCCCGGCTGCAGCCTCTGGCTCTTTACTTCTCCAAGAGGGGCGCCCGAGATGGGAATATGAAATCAAGTGTACCATTAACATAAACACACCATCATATCACCATCTTCATCATCCAACCAGCCGTGCACCCCCTCCCCCACCTCCCAGTCTCCTTTTTTCCCAGGCAAATCAGTCTGGTGAGCTGTGAAAATTGGGCCTCCAATCTACCTCAGCAGGCATGCAGGAAATGGCATGCCTTCCGACCGCACTCAGCCAGGGAGCGTGGGAAAGATTGATCCCCACGGACTGTGGCGGAGGATAATGCGTATGATTTGGCGACGCATCGGCGGAAGAAAGTAGCAGGTAGCAGGGAGACAGGTGGTGGCAGGCAGTGGCTGGAGCTGAGTCTGTCAGTTTTTGGCCACTTACTGCTGAGTGCCTGCTGAAACGGAACCTGGGAACAATCAAGGCTCTCTCTCGTGTTTTTTACACTCTCGTAGACAAAGAGATGTTAACCAGCAACAGGTAGGGAACAAAAGGGAGGATTCTCAGTATGTGTTCAGTGATTAAATGCAAGGACACTAATGAAATCAAACTCTTTTACCAGGTCTTTAACGACGGAGTAAGCATTAGGGGGAAACAGCGCAACTGTCCGCCCCAGCACCTTTGCTATTGATTTTGTTTTGTGGACAAAATGGAGACAAGGTGCGTCGAGCAGTGTGTAAAAAAATAAATAGTACATATTCTGCTGTTCTATCGCACATGTACAGTGAGGGAAAAAAAGTATTTGATCCCCTGCTGATTTTGTACGTTTGCCCACTGACAAAGACATGATCAGTCTATAATTTTAATGGTAGGTCTATTTGAACATTGAGAGACAGAATAACAACAAAAAAATCCAGAAAAACGCATGTCAAAAATGTTATCAATTGATTTGAATTTTAATGAGTGAAATAAGTATTTGACCCCTCTGCAAAACATACCTTAGTACTTGGTGGCAAAACCCTTGTTGGCAATCACAGAGATCAGACGTTTCTTGGAGTTGGCCACCAGGTTTGCACACATCTCAGGAAGGATTTTGTCCCACTCCTCTTTGCAGATCTTCTCCAAGTCATTAAGGATTAGAGCCTGACGTTTGGCAACTCGAACCTTCAGCTCCCTCCACAGATTTTCTATGGGATTAAATTCTGGAGACTGGCTAGGCCACTCCAGGACCTTAATGTGCTTCTTCTTGAGCCACTCCTTTGTTGCCTTGGCCGTGTGTTTTGGATCATTGTCATGCTGGAATACACATCCACGACCCATTATCAATGCCCTGGCTGAGGGAAGGAGGTTCTCACCCAAGATTTGACGGTACATGGCGCCGTCCATCGTCCCTTTGATGCGGTGAAGTTGTCCTGTCCCCTTAGCAGATAAACACCCCCAAAGCATGTTTCCACCTCCATGTTTGACGGTGGGGATGGTGTTCTTGGGGTCATAGGCAGCATTCCTTCTCCTCCAAAACACAGCGAGTTGAGTTGATGCCAAAGAGCTCTATTTTGGTCTCATCTGACCACAACACTTTCACCCAGTTCTCCTCTGAATCATTCAGATGTTCATTGGCAAACTTCAGACGGGCCTGTATATGTGCTTTCTTGAGCAGGGGGACCTTGCGGGCGCTGCAGGATTTCAGTCCTTCACGGCGTAGTGTGTTACCAATTGTTTTCTTGGTGACTATGGTCCCAGCTGCCTTGAGATCATTGACAAGATCCTCCGGTGTAGTTCTGGGCTGATTCCTCACCGTTCTCATGATCATGGCAACTCCACGAGGTGAGATCTTGCATGGAGCCCCAGGCCGAGGGAGATTGACAGTTCTTTTGTGTTTCTTCCATTTGCGAATAATCGCACCAACTGTTGTCACCTTCTCACCAAGCTGCTTGGCGATGTCTTGTAGCCCATTCCAGCCTTGTGTAGGTCTACAATCTTGTCCCTGACATCCTTGGAGAGCTCTTTGGTCTTGGCCATGGTGGAGAGTTTGGAATCTGATTGATTGATTACTTCTGTGGACAGTTGTCTTTTATACAGGTAACAAGCTGAGATTAGGAGCACTCCCTTTAAGAGTGTGCTCCTAATCTCAGCTCGTTACCTGTATAAAAGACACCTGGGAGACAGAAATCTCTCTGATTGAGAGGGGGTCAAATACTTATTTCCCTCATTAAAATGCAAATCTCTCACTGTTCAAATAAACCTACCATTAAAATTATAGACTGATCATGTCTTTGTCAGTGGGCAAACGTACAAAATCAGCAGGGGATCAAATACTTTTTTTCCCCCTCACTGTAATTATGTCAGAAGGGGAAAGAAAGTGTTCGTTGTTTGCAGTAAGTTCTTTGTTATTTAATATCCAAAATAGAGGTTTCACCATTAATTATTTGGCTTGTCAAACGTTGCTATTAGGTGAGATTGGGTTAAACTGAACCCCCGACATTCTGTAGGCCTGGAACGCTGTTCCGCAGGACATTGTTACAAATGGATTTGATATAGAAGGAAAGATTGAAAGAGAGAAAAATGTATTGAACAATGTACTGACTGAAGGATACATGACGAAGGCAAGGACAAGCAGGCACCACACCACACTGATGTTCATCTCTCCAGAGGGCTGGGCCACTGTGTAGTACAGCTCTGTGATCAGATACACCACCGTGGCCGCCACCGTGAAGTCCACCAGCCACTGGAACTCTGGGAAGTAGTGCAATGCTGCAGGAACCAGGAGGAAGAGCAGGAGGAGGAAGAGGGGGAAGAGGAAGATTAGTGACTGATTTATTTACTGTTTTGTTACTTCAAATCAAAATCAAACCAAATTTGATTTGTCACATGCGCCGAATACAACAGGTGTAGACCTTACAGTGAAATGCTTACTTACAAGCCCTTAACCAACAATGCAGTTTTAAGAAATACAAAAAAAATACCCAAATTACATAAAAAAATAAAACATTAAGAAATAAAAGTAACAAGTAATTAAAGAGCAGCAATAAAATAACAATGGCGAGGCTATATACAGGGGGTACCGGTACCGAGTCAATGTGCAGGGGCACCGGTTAGTCAAGGTAATTGAGGTAATATGTACATGTAGGTAGAGTTATTAAAGTGACTATGCAAACAGAGAGTAGCAGCAGTGTAAAATAGGGGTCTTATGGCTTGGGGGTAGAAGCTGTTTAGAAGCCTCTTGGACCTAGACGCTCCGGTACCGCTTGCCGTGCGGTAGCAGACTAGGGTGGCTGGAGTATTTGACAATTTTGAGGGCCTTCCTCTGAGACTGCCTGGTATAGAGGTCCTGGATGGCAGGAAGTTTGGCCCCATTGATGTACTGGGCCGTACGCACTACCCTCTGTAGTGCCTTGCGGTCGGAGGCCGAGCAGTTGCCATACCAGGCAGTGATGCAACCAGTCAGGATGCTCTCGATGGTGCAGCTGTACAACTTTTTGAGGATCTGACGACCCATGCCAAATCTTTTCAGTCTCCTTAGGGGGAATAGGTTTTGTCGTGCCCTCTTCACGACTGTCTTGGTGTGCTTGGACCATTTAAGTTTGTTGGTGATGTGGACACCAAGGAACTTGAAGCTCTCAACCTGTTCCACTACAGCGATGAGAATGGGGGCGTGCTCGGTCCTCTTCTTTTTCCTGTATTCCACAATCATCTCCTTTGTCTTGATCACATTGAGGGAGAGGTTGTTGTCCTTGCACCACACGGCCAGGTCTCTGACCTCCTCCCTATAGGCTGTCTTGTCATTGTCGGTGATCAGGCCTACCTACCACTGTTGTGGTAGGTAGGCCTGATCACCCTCTACCCTTTAGCTCAGTGTGGATGTTGCCTGTAATCCATGGCTTCTGGTTGGGGTATGTACGTACAATCACTGTGGGGACAACGTCATCGATGCACTTATTGATGAAGCCAGTGACTGATGTGGTGTACTCCTCAATGCCATTGGAAGAATCCCAGAACATATTCCGGTCCTTTAGCTTAGCATCTGCTTCATCTGACCACTTTTTTATTGACCGAGTCACTGGTGCTTCCTGCTTTAGTTTTTGCTTGTAAGCAGGAATCAGGAGGATAGAATTATGGTCAGATTTTCCAAATGGAGGGCAAGGGAGAACATTGTACGTATCTCTGTGTGTGGAGTAAAGTTGGTCTAGAGTTTTTGTCCCTCTGGTTGCACATTTAACATGCTGGTAGAAATGAGGTAAAACGGATTTAAGTTTCCCTGTACTAAAGTCCCCGGCCACTAGGAGCACCTCCTCTAGATGAACGTTTTCCTGTTTGCTTATGGCCGTATACAGTTCATTGAGTGTGGTCTTAGTGCCAGCATCGGTTTGTGGTGGTAAATAGACAGCTACGAAGAACATAGATGAAAACTCTCTTGGTAGATTATGTGGTCTACAGCTTATCATAAAATACTCAAACCTCAAGACTTCCTTAGATATCGCGCACCAGCTGTTGTTTACAAATACACATAGACCGCCACCCCTTGTCTTACCAGAGGCTGCTGTTCTATCCTGCCGATACAGTGTATAACCTGCCAGCTGTATGTTATTCATGTCGTCGTTCAGCCACGACGACTCGGTGAAACATAAGATATTACATTTACATTTTACATTTTAGTCATTTAGCAGACGCTCTTATCCAGAGCGACTTACAGTTAGTGAGTGCATACATGTTCATACTTTTTTTATACTGGCCCCCCGAGGGAAACAAACCCACAACCCTGGCGTTGCAAGTGCCATGCTCTACCAACTGAGCTACACTGGGCCCGTTTAATGTCCCGTTGGTAGGATATACGTGCTTGTAGTTTGTCCACTTTATTTTCAAGCGATTGTACGTTGGCCAATAGTATCGATGGCAAAGGCATATTTGCCACTTTTCGACGGCTCCTTACCAGGCAACCCGATCTCCTTCCGCGATATCTCCATTTCTTTCTACTGCGAATGACAGGGATGAGGGCCCTGTCGGGTGTCTGGAGCAAATCTCTCTTCCGACTTATTAAAGAACAATTATTCGTCTAGTTCAAGGTGAGTAATCACTGTTCTGATGTCCAGAAGCTCTTTTCGGTCATAAGAGACAGTAGCAGCAACATTATGTACGAAATAAGTAAAAAATTAGAGAGAAAAATATAAATAAAAAATAGCACGGTTGGTTAAGAGTCCATAAAACGGCAGCCATCCCCTCCGGCGCCATTATTACTTGGTTGATTTATGACAGTAATTCTGGATTGTGATGGATGTGCTCAAATACTGAATGATGAAGATTTGTTGAGGTTTAAGATATAAAACAAACTGGTAATAAACATAAGAATAACTGAATGGTGTCAGTAGATATGGCCTCATACCTAATGTGTCCACCTCTGTGATGCACTTGGTCTCCAGCTGCAGGTCTATGTCCTTGGGAATGGTCAGAGGCTTGTTCTCAATGTGGCCATTGTTCCTCCTGGGACAAAAGACAGAGCGCCAAATCAATACTAGACAGACATGGGAGATAGGACTTGTCCTATGTTGCAGGCAGGTTTACGCCATGTCATTTTTCTGGTCATTATTCCACCTCTAAATCAAGGGCACAGCAAAGACTGCTAAATAAAAATCCACTGCTATCATGTCAATTTAATGGCTGCCTAAAGAAAAACATAATATCCTGGACTATATCGAACTTAATCTGTGTATAAGGTCATTTGGGCATCTGCGAGATGGCTAGTGTATAGACGGGTTGGCTGATAACGTCACGAAAAATGAAGTGTGCACATTGATGAGGCAGAAGGCTGTGTGGTGTTATGTTTATGAGCAGTCAGATAGTTAGCAACAATGACAAGAAGCTGCCATTAGGGGAATCGTAGGTGGCTAATTTCAGCTTGTTATATCTTGTTATTGATACCATGTCTAGTTTTGACTCATGTCAAGTCTACGCTAATATGACAAAAATTGTGCAAATGTACACTACCGGTCAAAGGTTTTAGAACACCTACTCATTCTAGGGTTTTTCTTAATTTTTACTATTTTCTACATTGTAGAATAATAGTGAAGGCATCAAAACTATGAAATAACACAAATGGAATCATGTAGTAACCAAACAATTGTTAAACAAATCAAAATATATTTCTATACATTTTAGATTTTTCAAATAGCCACCCTTTGCCTTGATGACAGCTTTGCACACTCGCCATAGTATCGTCATGACTTTACCTGAAACCATTACATGGGGTTAGGCCTACAGCTTGTTTTGTTGGGAGTCTTAAACTGCTGTTCATACACTACTGAAAGATGTCACCTGCATGGCCTGGAGAGACCTACCATTCAAGCTTCCACCACCTTAACTCACTACCATAAGACAGCCAGAGACCATTCTAAGGCAAGGCTAGCGTCACTCATAGGCAGAAGCAAACAACAAAAAGACTTCAGTCCTCTCACTTCAAACAGGCCTTAAAAAAGCCTCCTAAACACATCAGCTTAATCTCTCCACTGACGCGCCTGACTCCACTGACGCTCCAATGACGCGCCTGACTCTCCTCCTTTTCATTCCTGATGAGAGGCGCCACTCGCTCCCCTCTGCACCACTGCCGCCCCCACCCTCCTCAGCCCCCCCCTTCTTACCTGTCTTTCTTGCTCTTTGTTTTTTGTTGTTTTCCAGCAAGGCTCCTCAACTCATCTTCCGTAGGGTGCTGGTACCACCGCAGACTGGGAAAGGAGAAGGGAGGAGACAAGTGAGTAATAAATATAAATAAATAAATATAAATATAATATAAATATAAGTGAGTAATCTAGGTAGCATTAGAACTACACCAGTGGTCCCAAGTCCTGGTTCTGGAGGGATGAAGGGTGGACCGGCTTTTACCCTGGCCTAGCAAGGAAACTCCTCAATCAATTAACCAACAATCAGTTGGATTGTTTTTTTTAGTGTTTGATGACAATATATTTACAGGCTGTGGCCCTCCAGGACCAGTATTGGCGACGCAATACCTCACATACTCCAAAAAGTGAGTCCTTCAAAAAGTATAAGATTGTGATTTATTTGGTCAATAGTTTGTGGTTCCAGGCCTACATGATTGAACATGATTAGGACCATCAATTAACAAACAAGCTGGGTTTTGCGATCATTTACCTTACAAAATACACACATAAGACTTCCCCTCAAAGCATATTCAATGTATTCAAGTCAATTAATGCACCTCTGACAAACACTTGCCAGAAGTTTACAAAGAGGGTAGTTACTGTGTTCCTTGAGGACTGGACTTAAAACAAGAGCTAATTTAAAAACAGTCTTTTGAAGACTAACATTTCACGCAACCTCTAACTGTCACAAGCCCTGAGAGGCATAGGCGTGAGGGAGGGGTAGAGGGCTTGTTTTCATTCATTCATCTTTTATTATTTATTTATTAGGGGAAACTTAATTGCGGATCTCTCTGAAGCGACACTGAGCCTCCTGTTTGGTCTAAAGTTGTTTGAAAAATGCATCAACAGCCCCCTGGGAAAAAAACTAGCCCTGATGAATTATGAAGTGTTTTCTGAGGAGCTGTTTACTCAAAAACGCATATGGCACTAATTAGAGGAAACGAGGCGGGTGCTTTATTTTTTTATTGCCCGTCCTCTCGGGTCATCCCAATATTTGATGATGCCCTTTGGTCTATGCAATGTGACTTAAATTATGTTTTTTTTTTATTATTCCTTTTCAGCAGACAATGAAAAAAGAGAGACTGTTTACAAGTTAAGCAAATACTATTTTCTGCATTGTTAAGAATTTAAAATGAATTGTTCTGATGGGAAAACCACTGAGGAGATTAAATCATGGTTCTTAAAGACACCATCAGAAACATAAAATGTCAGGTACAGAGTTCTACATTACCTCCCACTGCAGAGTAGCCATCTTGCAAAGGAGTAATGAGGTATGATCTTCTGAATTACACTGGCCATTACCATAGTAACCACCAGCTGCACACCGATCACACCCTGAGGGAGGGAAAACAAATCAAGTTATATTCTAATAGGAATTAGACAGATATGACATACAGTACACATACACTCTTGCTCTGAATGGAGATGAGTCATTTCATCATGGTGTTTCATCCGGTCTGAAATGTCAGCTGAAAGACGGAAATCCATCACTCAAACTTGCAGCCATTGATCAAGTGACAACTATATTGAGGATAACTTTGTAGAACCGAGAGTGTCAAAATACAGTAGTACTGGAATGTATTCTGGTTGTTCCAATTGATTCACCCAAAAGGGTATTATGGGTTTTTGCAGAAAAATAAGCAGTCTCTAGCAGCATAGGAACATAACGGGATGGATGGTGTAGCCCAACTATTGTAGCCCAACTCCGTGCACACCAGATGCCATATAGACGTCTCTCAGAAGGGGACAATAACGCTGGCATGATGTCAGAGAAGACAGGATGGTGTCAAACCAAAAGAAGCACTATAGGTTTATTGAAGGCACCATTTTTACATGCCAAATGTAATTACCTTACCAAATTAGTGCTGAGAGGTGCTGTCAGTCATCAACTGTTGAACAATTTCGAGAGTCCCTGCTCTTAACGGTGACTAACGAACACAGCCACTAAAGCCTTGTTCACACTGGCAGTTTGAAGTGCCTCAAATTCTATTTTCTTTGCATATCCTGAAAGGCCAAAAAGCGCATGGAATCGGATATTTCAAGCCCCATTTCAAACCACCTTTATAGGTGGTTTAAAATTAGATACAAAATCAGATTCCTGGCCACACGACTTGTGTCTGAACGGTCAAATCTGAGTTATTTGCTCTCAAGTGGCTTTTAGACTGTTATTTTGCATATCTTGTTGCTTGCTAGCTACTCTGTTGACAGTTTGACAAGAACATGTGGTAGCTAACTAGTTTGTTAATGGTTTACAAACAAATTAGTTAATGTACTAGAAAGCTAAAACAGCTACCTAGCTAGCTAGTTGACTGCTGTGTCTAGCCAAAAATAACTCATTTTGAAAGTTGGATCATCTTATCCTTTGAGGCTTTAACAATATGCATCTTCAAGTGATCTATTGATAGGACAGGTGCCTGTCAGTCACAAAGCGAGCGACGACCGGAAACTGCTGGTTTGTCAGTCTGCTGTCTGTCCCGCCTCTCTTTACCCTTTTTTTTTTTTTTTTTTTTTTTTCACCCTCGCTGTGGTTGGCTGCATTCAAATGTATTTTCACGGAGGGAGAGCATGATGCTTCTTCATCGTCTCCTGTGAGTGAATTTACACGTTCCATGTAATGTAAGTGGTAACGATGAGTTCTAATCCACGTGGTCCTCTGTAGCTCAGCTGGTAGAGCACGGCGCTTGTAACGCCAAGGTAGTGGGTTCGATCCCCAGGACCACCCATACACAAAAAAAAAAATTATGCACGCATGACTGTAAGTCGCTTTGGATAAAAGCGTCTGCTAAATGGCATATTATTATTATTTTATTATTATTTAATTATTATATTTCGCGTGTATCATGTGCATATAACAAGCCACGGAGTCGGGGCGCATTTGCTATTTATTGTTCTTTGATTGACGACCAAACTTGTGTTGACTAGTTTATAAAAGGTGTCAAACTGACTGAATAGTCAATCTCCAATATCCCTTTGCTATTCATAAAATCATACAACATATTTATATGTCCATAGTACCGCATCGGGACAAGTAAACCAAAGATCATTTGTATTTTCCTAGGATTCGAAGCCCATGTCGAGACTTATAGATAAATTATGAAAACATTTGATGAAGATGTTGAATTCTCACTCCAGGAACAATGGGCAGTGGAGAGAGCTTCGTTCTGTTGCAAAATATGTTAAAAGAAAACAGATTGAAGGTTATAAAAGCTAATGTCATGATACTTACAGTGCCATCAGAAAGTATTCACACCCCTTGACTTATTCCATATTTTATTGTGTTAGACGGAATTCAAAATCACACAATACCCCATACTGACAGTGAAAATATTTTTTAAGACATTTGTGCTATTATTTTGACTATGAAATACAGAAATATCCAATTAACATAAGTATTCACTACCCTGAGTCAATACATGTTAGAATCAACTTTGGCAGCGATTACAGCTGTGAGTCTTTCTAGATAAGTCTAAGAGCTTGGCACACCTGGATTGTACAATTTTTGCACACTTGAAAAAAAATTAAAATATTCTATCTCCGTCAAGTTGGTTGTTGATCATGGCTAGACAGCTATTTTCAAGTCTTGCCATAGATTTAAGCCACTTTAAGTCAAAACTGTAACTAGGCCACTCAGGAACATTCAATGTCGTCTTGGTAAGCAACTCCAGTGTATATTTGGCCTTGTGTTTTAGGTTGTCCAGCTGAAAGGTGAATGTCTCCCAGTGTATGTTGGAAAGCAAACTGAACCATGTTATGCCTGTGCTTAGCTCTATTCAGTTTATTTTTATCAAAATAAACTCCCTAGTCCTTGCTGATGACAAGCATACCCATAACATGATGCAGCCAACACCAAGCTTGAAAATATGGAGAGTTGTACTCAGTGATGTGTTGTTTTGGATTTGCCCCAAACATAACATTTTTATTCAGGACATCAAGTTAATTTCTTTGCCAAATTTTATGCAGTTTTACTTTAGTGCCTTATTGCAAACAGGATGCATATTTTGGAATATTTTTATTCTATACAGGCTTCTTTCTTTTCACTCTGTCATTTAGGTTAGTATTGTGGAGTAACTACAATGTTGTTGATCCATCTTCTGTTTCTCTTATCACAGCCATTAAACTCTGTATTGTTAAGACTTTAAAACACTGTAGTTGTTTTAAAGTCACCAATGGCCTCATGGTGAAATCCCTGAGCGGTTTTCTTCCTCTCTAGCAACGGAGTTCGGAAGGATGCCTGTATGTTGAAGTGACTGGGTGTATTGATACACCATCCAAAGTGTATTTAATAACTTCACCATGCTCAAAGGGATATTCAATGTATGCTTTTCTTATTTTTTGTACCCATCTACCAATAGGTTCTCTTCTTAGCAAGGCATTTGAAAACCCCCCTTGGTCTTTGTGGTTGAATCTGTGTTTGAAATTCACTGCTCGACTGAGGGACCTTACAGAAAATGGTATGTGTGGGATACAGAGAGGAGGTAGTCATTAAAAAAAATCACTTACTGCACACAGTGAGTCCATGCAAGTTATTAAGCAAATTTTTACTCCTGAACTTTTTTAGGCTTCTTGCCATAACAAACGGGTTGAATACATATTGACGCAAGACATTTCAGATTTTCATTTTTAATACATTTGTAAAATTTTCTAAAAACATCATTCCACTTTGACATTATGAGGTATTGTGTGTAGGCCAGTGACAGAAAATATAAATGTAAATCAATTTTAAATTCAGGCTGTTTCACAACAAAATGCGGAAAAAGTCAAGGGGTGTGAATACATTCTGAAGGCACTGTATATGGCATTATTAAATATATTGATATAGGCCTACTGATTTGATTAAAGTGTCGACAATGGAGTAGTCAACTGCTGCTTTCTGTGTAGCAAAGCCCATGTTTAACACCTGCTTCTTTTTTCAATCATACCTGCAGGTCATTTTTAAAACCATTTCCTGCAATTCTATATTGTTTCTCAACAGGGAATCAATGTTTATGACCGAATCTACACTACCATTCAAAAGATTGGGATCACTTAGACATTTTTTGCCCATTAAAATAACATCAAATTGATCAGAAATACAGTGTAGACATTGTTGATGTTGTAAATGGCTATTGTCGCTGGAAACGGCTGATTTTTTATGGAATATCTACATAGGCATACAGAGTCCCATTATCAGCAACCATCAGTCCTGTGTTCCAATGGCACATTGTGTTTGCTAATCCAAGTTTATAATTTTAAAAGGCTAATTGATCATTAGAAAACCCTTTTGCAATTATCTTAGCACAGCTGAAAACTGTTGTGCTGATTAAAGAAGCAATAAAACTGGCCTTCTTGAGACTAGTTGAGTATCTGGAGCATCAGCAATTGTGGGTTCGATTACAGGCTCAAAATGGCCAGAAACAAATAACTTTCTTCTGAAACTCATTAGTCTATTCTTGTCCTGAGAAATGAAGGCTATTCCATGCAAGAATTGCCAAGAAACTGAGAATCTCGTACAACGCTGTGTACTACTCCCTTCACAGAACAGAAAGAGGAGTGGGAGGCCCCGGGGGACAACTGAGCAAGAGGACAAATACATTAGAATGTCTAGTTTGAGAAACAGACCCCTCACAGGTCCTCAACTGGCAGCTTCATTAAATAGTACCCGCAAAACACCAGTCTCAACGTCAACAGTGAAGAGGCGACTCCGGGATCCTGACCTTCTAGACAGAGTTGCAAAGAAAAAGCCATATCTCAGACTGCCCATCTTAATCTTTCATTTTTATTGGCCAGTCTGAGATATGGCTTTTTCTTTGCAACGCTGCCTAGAAGTTCAGCATCCCGGATTCTGCAATAACTCCCTGGCTCAGCTTTAATATTGCAGAGAGATCGTAGCTTCCATCAATGTAATTGTCTGCATCACTTCCAATCCCTCAACATCACTTCCAATCCCCCATATATTTTCTTGCAAATATACACTACCGTTCAAAAGTTTGGGGTGACTTAGAAATGTCCTTGTTATCCATGAAAGCATACATGAAATGAGTTTGAATAGGAAATATAGCAAAATGTATAGGAAATGTAGTCATTGACAAGGTTAGAAATAATGATTTTTAATGGAAATAATAATTGTGTCCTTCAAACTTTGCTTTCGTCAAAGAATCCTCCATTTGCAGCAATTACAGCCTTGCAGACCTTTGGCATTCTAGTTGTCAATTTGTTCAGGTAATCTGAAGAGATCTCACCCCATGCTTCCTGAAGCACCTCTCACAAGTTGGATTGGCTTGATGGGCACTTCTTACGTACCATACGGTCAAGCTGCTCCCACAACAGCTCAATAGGGTTGAGATCCGGTGACTGTG